ACGATCCCAGTTTAATGTGCATCCCTTTGACAACCCTCTATTATCCCAAGAGATGGTTCGATCGTGGAGGTTAGTTGACTATCCGTCTTCGAGGGAGTCACATGATAAACGACAAAGAAGACCCTTACCAGATAGGTAATCACGGAGATGCTCGTCAACAAAACCATTTTCACGCTCATCTGCAAACAAAAAAAATAAGCAATGATTTTACAAGTTGCGCCGGGAATCGTACCAGATAAGGTTTGGTATAAACGGGAGACCTGCCAATATGAACGATTATTAATATTAGGAAATGATGGATGATATGATTGGATAATTTGATGTGTGAACTTTGTGTTGATTCCTTATTCCATTTTGAAGGAAATTCTTCACCGTGGTAGCAATTCTCTCCATTGGATTATCAGCCCCCTCGGTTGCATCACTGGGTCACTCACGTTTTTGGTGTTTGACCAGCAACAATCCCGCAAACATCATGCTAATAGACAACTATGTACTATTCGTCTTGGCCTTTATTGTAACGTGTTTCTGTTATTTTCAGACTTTATATACCATACTTAATGTGGATCGCGAAGGCATGGTCGATTCTTCGGAACGAATTAACAGATGGAATAGATTAGAGAAACAAGCGACTAGAAAGATCTTTATTTACATTGCGTTGTCTATTATGAAATGGATTCCGTTGGTGGGATTTGGTATTGGGATCATGTTAGGCTATGATTTTGTCTGGACGAATGTTCTTTTTATTGTTTGTAAGTTCTCAATGAAAAAAATTTTAACATTTGTTGTTCATAACCAGCCAGCGTATTAATGGTTCACCTTAAATCTCACTTATTTAGTATTTAACCTCGGAGGGATCTACAATTATGGTTTATACCTTACCAGCGGAGGCATACCGAAACGCGAAAACTCGATTCCACAACAAACCATCATCTCCTCACCAAAGATTGACGTTCACCAATCAGAAGTCACGTTGCCAATGGAGGCCTTGGTGTCGTCCAACGTCAAGAACCACGATTCCGTTATGGATTGCGTTTCGTTGAATTTGGAAGGAATTTCTCCTACAGGCAGTGGACAAATTAATGATAATTTAACGGTTGATGAAAATAGGTCTAGTGAGGGTGACGAACTTAAATTTATTAGAACAATATAAGTGTGCGCGAGGAATTATCTGTTTTTGTCTTTCATTGTATTTTTAAAGCAGTAGTATCCATATGTTTTTTTAATACACTGTACATATATCACTTGGTCGAGCGAAACATGGAAAAATAATACATAAATAAATAAATATAAATATTTTTAAGCTTCATACCGCGGCCCAGATATGCAAAAAGATCATTGACCTACTGTACCATACATCGTATTAATATACCGTACATAATATAAGATATTGTATATTCGTATATTACTCACAAAGCAATATGCTGTACATTGAAGATTTTACTTGATTTAAGAACAAAGTTCATAACAAATTATTTCTTTTTTTATGCATATAAACTAAAATCTTTTTCTTTCTTTTTAGGCCATAAGGATTTATGGAAATTTTGTGGATTGAAAATTTTTGATCGTATCATAATACTGTATGTATGATAGAAATCAAATTAGATTAATATACAGTATATACTGTACAGTATATTATTATCTTAAAAAATATCATTAAAAAATTAAATTAACATACAGTATATTCGTATCTTAATAATGTAAAATTTATTTATTTAAAAAATATAAAAAAATATTAATATAAATATTTTAGTTTTATAAAATAATTTGTAATTAAAATAATTTATATTTAATTAATAATATTATTTTTAATTTTTTTTTTAAATTTGATATATTAATTGTATGAATATTATAAGTTATATATAAATTTATATTATATTTGAAAAAGACAAATTTTTTTATCCCCTACTGTATATACAATATATACTGGATATACTGGATATATATTATTTTTTATTTTAATAACATTTGATTTATTAACTTTTTTCAAAAAAAAAATTTTTTTTATAATAATTTCTTGAAAAAAGTGAACCAGTCCAAATACATAAGAAAAAACAATATTTTTATCAAACCAACTTACTAAAACATACAACAAAACTATTCAGAGATATTAAGGATAAAAATATATTATGTTTTTATTAACTTTAATTTTTCTTTATATAAAATAAATACATGTAACAAAACTTTTCTACTAATTCTCTGACTATATATAAAAAAGATATTCATAAGAAGTTTTATATTTCTTTACTAATAAAGTCTTTATACTTTCACAGTATGAGTAATTACTCATTTCAGTTGTTCCTAAGATTTATCTTAATAACTAATAAAGGTTCTGATGCTGACGCAGGAATGAGCTAGCGTGTTAAAAAAAAAAAAATCTTTATACTTTTATTAAAACAATTTGAAGCTTATTTTAACTTATTTCTCTTATCCTCCCTTATTTGTTTATAAACTCCTTTGAATAAAAACTTAGGTTTCTAATAACTTGAAAAGACTCAAGTATGCACTTCCTCTATTAAAGACAAAAAGGTTCTAGAAAGTAAAAGAACTGATAAGTGAAGTGCAATCTTACAGAGCTAAAAGCAACATTAAATAGAGGTTTTGTTGACAAGGAAAAACTTATTATCTATCTTTTCATACTTTTCTGTTCCTTCTTAAAATGTTTACTGTTTTTTACAATTTTTTTGAAGAAGTTTATCTACCTCAATTTAATTCTGAATTTTTGATAGCACAATATTATCAGGTTGTTGATTGATTGATATAAAACACATTAGTAACTAAATATAAACAAATTTTCACTGATCATTTTATGTATTCTGATGACTTTATTGGTAATTGAAAGAGTTATTAATGTTCCATATTTGTTCTACTCTTCCAATTGAATTAATCTATATATTAAGTTCCATGAGACTAATAAGATACAAGCAACAAGTCTCCAAGTGATGAAAAAGATATTATTTGTTCAAGTTAAAATCTTTCTTATCTATTATTCCAGGCCAACAAAGTTCAAGATCAAGGTCTTTTTTTTATACCAGTCAAGCAATAAGATTAAATGGTCTCTAGTCCATACTAAGCTCTAACCCTTTAGTTACAGTCAAAAATATATTTTTCCAAAAGTTGTTGAAAGATACTATAATTGACGAAAATTCCCATTGCTTCTGAAACTCTTTTAGCATGACAAGGTAAAAGAATTATTGAGGAATCTAACCTTTTAAATATTAGAAGATATATATCAGAAAATTCCTTTAATTAGATATGGCTGTTGAAAGGTATCATACTGAAATAATATGACCTAATTTTTATTAGGTCATAGAAGAACCTAGGATCTATCATAAGTCATCTTCCTATTGTAGGTGGATAAAAAATCACTGCCTAATACTAGTCAAAAAATATTTATTCAGTATAATGCTACTTGTATAATTTTCATCAAAAAAATAAATAATTTGACATATTAATAATATAGATAAATCGGCAATCAATTTTTATCATATAATTTCATATATAATTTGACATAAATAAATTGTTAATCAATTTTTACTATATAATTCGGTATAAATAAATAATCAATCAATTTCTACTATATAATTTAGTATTATCTGCCATATTTGCACTATTTTTACTATATATTTCGTTAAAATTTTTCTCAAAAATTATTAGACATTCATCAAAATTCACATATTTGTAAAATTTTAATTATATATTATATTTACGATTTAAAGAAATTATGGCTAAATATTCACAAGAGTCTTGTTGATTTGAGATTCTATATATAAATGAAATAAATTAACCAAAAAGATTATGAACAGGGATTATGTATTTACATCTAACTGAATAAAATTCAGTATTTTATAATTCAACATTTGTGTCATTTTCAAATCTGAAATAAAATCTATTTTCTACTGAATTAACTGGTTTGTATCACCAAATAAAGGCTAATTGATGTTTAATAACATTATTTAGAAAGTTTACCAAATGTATAAAAAAGAATTGAACTTGTTCCAGATATAAATCGACACTTCCATCGTGATTTACATATCTAGCTAATATAAATAAGCCCTTAATATTTTATGAAAACATAACAGAATCAAATATTTCACTTTTAATTTAATATTTATCATATTGATCTGCTCTATTCTAAATTATTATCGATTTTTATTATCTTTTGTAAATAGCCTCTGAAAGTTCATAGTTTCATAAGATATCTAATAAATATTCGACTAATAGATCTAATATTTTGGCAGATACCTCTAAATTTGGTTTTTTTAGATGCAAGAGTTCACTTGAAAAATGTTCAGATCCATTGATTATTGTTTCGTGAATATTATATGTGTTGTTTAAAAATCGATATAATTCATTAGCTAAAAACTAATCTAGTTCAAAAATTGAACTGATATTTGATCGATTATTTAAAATTTCAAGCTCCTGGTTATTAGGATAGAACATTATTAGATTAATAATTCAATGATCATTCATCAATCTTCATATTAATTCAAGTTTCAATGACTATTAGGCAATGAACCTAGATTAAAAATTCATTAGAATTCTACTTCTGAATGTTAAATTTGTTTAAAAAATCTATCTAATATATCATTCATCCTTTTAAATGAAAAGTACCAAAATGCATACAATGGCCTATAATCACATGCACGTTTATATAAATGTAATGAAAAATAAAAATTTGAAGTAATTTTTTCTTTTCCATATTTTCGTTCTATTAGTTTAATTATTGCAACTAATCTTTCATAAGTCTTATTTAACAAATTTTGTCTTAAAATTCAGTATATTAAGATTTGACAAATCTTAATAAAATTTATTAAAATTTGGTAATCCACATCTGAAATATACTTCTATAGAATGATAGTTGCATATATTGTAAAAAAAATTTTCCACTGATTGGCAGTGAAGTTCAAAAATCCTTTGTTACTATTTATTTTTCTCAGAATTCAACCAATATCTGATGGCACTTGAAAAATTTCTATCATTTATTATATTTCATTCAATACATTATTCATCAGTATTCCTTCTTTGATCCATATTTATTGAATAGACCATTTATCAATACCTAAGAAAAAACAGTGTATAAAATTGATAACTAAATATCAAATTGGATCAAAATCAAGTAGGCAAAGGAATTTGAATCATCTGACATGCTTCTTATTGATAAAATGTTTTTATGTTACATTTGAGCTATAGTACTTCTATTTGATAAAATCTCATTTATATATTACCAAATCTCTCAATATAAACTATTTATTCATATTTTCTATGCCACCAAAATTATAATGATTATTTTCATAATTGACATTCTTTTTGCAATGATGACATGATACTAGTGCTGAAATATGTCCACACACTTTTTGTGTAGCAGAAATATTACACAAAATTAAAATTAAGGCCACTCAAATTATTTTTTCTCTTCATTTTTGGCAATTGAATCGAGCTTTATTTCTTGCCATGGTTGTATCAATTTATCAATAATTGGAGAAAGGTAATAGCTTATTTGATGTAAACTTGATTTACTAGGACCTAGTAATATGCCAAGAATTAAAATATTTTCATGTTCAAATAATATTTCACATGGCAAATTTGTGATAGCTGCATATATAACTTCAGTACTATATGCTTTATTATTGAATGGTTGAAACCAGTCGATATTTAACATTAATCCCAAATGCAAATCAGCCATCTCTTTATTAAAAAATAATTTCGAGTTTTTATCTTTAAAAGTTTTTCAATATTATCATCATAGATATCACAAAGAAGTTCATCAATACTTGATCGATCTATTCAATGTGAAAGATTAGATTTAAAATTCAGATTTAGATACATTTGCAACAATTGATACTAAATAGTAGAATATGAAAAAACTAAATTGAGCTGATTAATTACATTTCCATTTAATAATTCTGATTGAATAGATAGTAGAGAATTGCAAGTTTTTCTTCATTTTGTTGCTGAATTAAGAAATTCAATATAAACACACTTTATGATCAATAGCTGATTGTTTTTTTTAAAATCAAGAACATTATCCTGTTTATACAATTTGTGGTATTTTTGACTGTTACAAAACTAACAAACTGATCTGATAATCTAAGTTTATTGTTGGTGATATACAAAGACCCACAAAAGAGCTCAAATTCTTCATCACCAATT